CTTTATTAAAATAAGAAAATATATTTTCGATTTCTCCAGGTACCAACCCAAAAAACCCGAATTATTCGGGTAAAAAGCCATACCGAACCGAATAGTTCAGTTCAATAAACTATACAATTATTTGAAGTACCGAAATTTCGATATGATTTGGTACGGTTTTACCAAATGAACACCCCTGCAGTTATATTCATCAGTGTGAAATTTTCAGAAAACAAGATGAAGGGAAAAGATCAGAAAATACATTTTTCCATAACTTAATACTAGAAAAAATATACTTTCAAGTAAATTATAATACCTGTTAAATTGAAGAGAATTATTTCATGAAAAATGTAGTTTTGGCCCCTCAAGTTTGTACTAATTTCACATTTTGCTCGCCATGTTCACAAAAAATACATTTGGTCCCTCATATTTAAAAAAATCAATACTTTTAGCTATTTCCGTCAATTTTTCGTTAGTACTGACGAAATCAAGCGTTTTTCCATCACTCCCTTAACTGGCAGAGTAACGTTAAACCGACAAAAAATGATCGGAAGTATTAAATTGTTGAAACAGGAGGAACTAAATGTGTTTTTTTTAAACATAGAGGATCAAATGTGAAATAAGTGCAAACTTAAGGGGTGAAAATTGTAATATAGGCTAATTATTTTTGTGTGCATATTGTGAGGAATAAGAGTTGCTAGTACAAGTCCATTTAAAGATGGGCTTTTTTACAAGTGTAATAAATAATAATATCTATCTTCATCCTAAAATAATTTCTTATTCCGATTGCCTTATGCCGAAAGCCGAAATTGGGCTCCTTCGACCCGATCTTCTGTTGGCACGTGTCATTTTTATATTCACTCACCTTAATGAGTGAATATATTATAAAATACAAAAAAAGACACATGGCAACAAAAGACACACCTGATGTAAGGTCGAAGAAGTCCTAAAGCTGTAAGCGTCGTTTGACTAAACTTATAAACTGTTAATAACAACATATATGATGTTTAATAGCTTATAAGTTCGTCTAAATTGTCATGTAATTCTTTTTTAAATATCTAAAAAATTCCAAAAATAAACTGTTCTTGGATCCAAAAAATATAAAAACCGGTGTTGTTGCTCCGGGTGATGTATGGGCTCCTTGATCCGAACCACATTATCTCTGCGTAAATTTTCTTCGTCGATTTTTCTCGCAACTATAATATTATTCCTAGTCAATTATAGATCCAAAATTAAACTAATGAAAGCTAGGCAAACTTTTTACATCATTTAATTTATCTAAATTAAAATTCAAAATTACCATAGGAAGCTGCATTTATAATCAAACATATACAAACAAAGGCCCTTCCACTCATGCTAAGAAAACCCTAATTTGCCCTTTTGTTTCAACAATAAAACATTACTCTTTTTACATTTTCTTTGAGAGCCGGTAAAGGACGCACACCCGTTTCTCCCGCCACTCTTCCCACCTTGCCACCACCGCCGCTGCCACTTTCCGGCAAGTCCGGTTCCAAATAGAATCTCGCCCGGAATGCAGCCAAATGTGCATAGTAAGCTGGGGGAACTGTGTCAAAATAAATAAATAATCAAGTAATTTTTTAATGTAACAGAATTACGAAAATCGTCCCTTTAATTTCCGAATAACGTTAATTTGATAGCACTAAAAAGTATAATAAAATTGTCCGATTATTGAACTTTATCTAGACTTACCAACTGAAACGGAGCGTGTACACCTGGCGTATGTATAACATAGATTGTTCGTCAGTGACTGAATTCCGTCGGCAGTGAAATTGTTCTCATCCCAGAGTACATGGTAGTGAGCAGGTCGACTCGTTCCCTACAAAATTAAAAAGAAACGTATTTTCTATTAAATAAAATCTTATACGAATTTCCGAAATAGGTATATATATACACACAGAAATTTTACCTGAATTCCAGCATGACTACAAAGATAAAAGTCGAATTCTGTAGGATGACAGATTTTCGAATCGACCACCGTACCTACAGGAAATTTTTAAAAAAAATTACAATTTAAAAAACAATCTATGCAAGAAAAAAAATAAAAAAATAAATAATTAAATATATATATTAAATTACCAGGTAATACGTTTCCGCTCTTGTCGGTGCTGCTTTTATCCCTATGATTGTTAGCAAAAAGTCTTGTGTGATGCCGTTTTTGAACTACGATAAAAGTCACCGGTGGTTGATAGTTTGGCTCCAACGAGGCGCAAGCCTGCTCATTTAATTTATCATAAAAAAAAATTATTACTAACATAGTAAAATTATAATTATTACATCGTCACGGGAGTTTTAATACAGAAAAATAAAATAAAATAATTAATAATAATAATAGAAAAATAGTGGTGTGTACATACCTTGCGAATAGCATCCAACTCAAATAGTAGCACTTGGTAAAATTGCCCTTCACTCACACCATCCCTGTTATATTTATATAAAAAAAATATTTATTACACGTACTATTTATCGGTTTTCGACAATTAAAAAATAGCGAATAAATTTTTTTTATATCAACCTGTAAAATATTATCCTCTGTGGCTTTTGTCCAGTTGCTTTTCTAAACGAAACCAAAAGATCCCTGCAAACGACAGCAAAACATTAACTTAAAATACATTAAAAAAAAATCCCAAATTTTTTTAAAAAAAAATCCAAAAAAATTAATAATAAAAAAACCCAAAAAAAAAATAAAATCGAACCTGATCATGCCGCCACTCACGGTCCCACGAACAGGATCTTGCCAAGTCTTGTACAAATCTTGTATCAATTCTTGTCTATGCGCTTGCGCGCAAACCAACCCCGCGTACTTTGTCACCTCGGGCCAATCTTGAGAAGCTACAACCTACATTTAAAAAGAAATAATATTTTTTTTTAGCAAAAACGGATAGTAAAATATAATTTTTTAAATAAAAAAAAAAAAGAGTAAAGGGAGAAATTAATAATCATACAGCAGCTATAGATGGACTCGACTCCTCTCCGTTTTCGGGATGCGTTACATCAGCTCCGAATATAATCGTAGGTATATCACTCACTAGCGGTATTCTACAGCTTATTGCATCCAATAAAACCGTATTTCTTCCACCCATCTGTGTTCGATAATAATAATATATTAAAGTTTATCGAAGAATTTCTTGTAATTAATTTTAAAAAAAATGATGAATATTCAGAACAATTTTATCGTACCTTGACATTTATTTTTAAGGACACATTAGCAAGATATTGCTTGTTGATCTTGAAAACGTGTTTCGTGAGACAACATTGGGATATTATACCAAGATCGGTTTCACATATTCGCTTCAAATCACCTATCACCACCACAATATAAAAAAATTAATAATAATAATTATAAAAAAATTATCTCAATATTTTCGTTACTAAATTGCTAAAAAAACTCGTGTTATAGATACTAGTAGAGCACCCCATATAATGCATTTTGTTAGCACACACACCCCTAAATGGTGCATTTTGGGGGGAAATTTGCTAATAAAATTGAATTATAGGGGCGCTTTTGCTAATATTTATAACACTAAGGGTTTTTGGACAATTAGAGTAAACACAAGGGTGCAAAATGCAATAAACCAATTTTATTACGGCATATATATACCGTATAGAGAGCCGTTGTTGTCGGGCAAAATAGCTAATAAAAGCTCCAATTCTTTTCCTTTTAATTTATTGGTGCATGCATGATAAACATGCTTCAAAGCTTTTTCGACTTGATCCGGCCGAGCTATGTAGATTGGAATAACGGGTTCCGGATTAAATTCCTGTAATAAAAATGTGACTATTACGATTAGTTTATACAATTACATCGTATATTTAGTACAAAATGAATAAAAGGAAGAATATTCTAATTATATACCATGCCCGATACTTGACACATTTGAGCTAGCTCATTGCAAAATCCACGAGCAACGCTATCTTGTACGCTCCGTGAGAAGTTAATACATGCCCAACGGTTCACGTTCATGCCGTTTATCATTTTCTGTGCAAATAAAATAAAATAAAATATTATTTCGACAATTGAGAAAGAAAAAAAAATCAATTATTAAAAAAAAAAAAAAAAAAAAAACCTTGTTCATCATATTCCATTGGCCAACTTGGGGCAAGCAATCTTTTTCTTTTCCCGTGTCATGATATTTCAACTGTGTTATGTAAGTGTGGCTAATGAAAATTAGCGATTTTGGTTAATATTAATAAATTATTAGAAATACGAAAAAAGAAAGTTGCCGATTTTTTTACCCACGGAGCGGGGAGAACTCGGGCCTCGACAGATGTCATTTTTTCGCTGATTTTGATTCCGAATTCATTTGCGTACGGATCTTCTTCATAAGCATTGTGTTGAACAGTCTAAACCAACATTTAAAAAAATCATCACTTAATCGTTAAATATATTCTTGAAATACGTAAAAAAATATATATTAACTATCACATGCCTGTAAGATATCGTTTTCACGGTCCCTTGGTCGTTGGCAAGTGACCTTTAGAAGAGAAGTAATTCGTTTTGCGCTCAAACCTTTTAGTATATCTCTGTCCCTCCACAATTTTTACAAGCCTGAAAAAAACGAAGAGCGTTAGACCTAAAATACAGGGGTGTGATTGTATAAAAAAAACTAAACTTTACGGACCACAAATGAAAATACCAACAACATCTGACCTCCATGGGTAAATAGTTTGCCTTCTTCTGATTCCCTACTTGTAGGCAAGGCAGATGAGTGTGCTGTATTGTGAAACCGTACATTTCTTGGAAATACTCGACCACGGATTTCATGTTCGAGTCGTCATCCACCGGAAATCTGAAAAATTATTTATATAATTCAATAATTGCTAATTTCAAGAATTAATTATTTATATTAATTCAAGAATTGTTGGTATAAAGCTTACACTAGCTCACGAGTGGGCTGAGTCGTAATGCCGCAAACTCGATATTTTCTTCGAACATCTCTTCTATGAGTCACTTCAACTTTTACTCCTCTAAGTGCTTTTTTAACCTGAATTTATTATTATTATTTTTTTTTTAATTTATATTTAGAAACAAGAAAGGTGGCAAAAAAATAAATAAATCAATTACAATCAAACTAAATACCGACCTTAATGCGATCCGAATCGGATAACGGCCTCGACAAAACATCTTTCCCCAATAATTGAGCGACGAATTCGATAACCGGAAGAGCCTCAATAAATGCAGCCGAAGCCATATCTACAATTCAAGAAAAGACACGATATTTAGTAAATACGTTGAATTATTATTTTTTTTTTTTGCGGCACGAATGTAAAAACGGCACGCGTGTTACCTATGTTAAGTGACAATCCCATCTGAGTGGGCCGTATGCTCTGATAGAATCCACACCACGCCTCCAAACCGTCACCTAGTCTTTGCGGTTTCCTTATATCCGGAGAAAAAAACGATCTTCCGACAGGACAGAATCTATACATGCACACATGCAAAAATCAAACATTATATTGATAAAAAATAAAAATCAAGAATCCCGAAAAAAAAAATTATTTACTCGTACCTTTTCACGGAGAGCTCTCTCAATACAATGTCGAGAATTTGTAGTGCCTCCTTTGGACCATCTGCTCGTTTACCGGCTAGAAATTGCTCCAAATGATGTAAATTTGCACGTGCGACAAATTTGATTGCTACTTTGTATTCCCTCACTCTCCTGAAATTATAGACAAACGTTAAAAAAAAACTTTATAATAACGAAATATCCAACTACACATTTATCATAAATTCATAATTACTCCACTCGATCCTTAATATTTGTCGCTTTAGAATTCCAATACTACATCAATTACATAATTTCCAATTATTCCCTTATTAACAAATTCTCGAACTACACATTTATCACAAATTTATAATTACTCATGTCCTTTTAAAGAATCTTTTTTTATTTTATATTATCTGCCACTTTAGAATTCCAATACTGCATTAGTTACATAATTTACAATTCTACCCTTACGAACCCTCTCCACCACTCCCTCTTCCTCAACTATTTTTTCTCTCTCTTGCTAGTGGAAAAGGGTATTTTGGTCTAAAAACGTACATCTTCCTAAAATCAACCCAAATTCACGAGTGTCGTACGAGGTATACAATAACTTACTTAGGGCCGTTGATAGTGTCTTCTTCGTCTACAAGCTTAACAATAAACTCCTTCCGAGCGAAAGGAAGTTCCCCTGCGGTGTAAAGACTCTTTCGCCCATCATACGCAGGTAATCTCTTCCCTAAATCGGATTCCTTGTATACTTTCACGAGTTCCGCTATTATAGCTCGATTTACCGCCCTCGATGCGACTTCGGGGGTAATAGTTACCTGCAGTAAAAAAATAAATAATATTTTTTTTTTAAATTCAAACAACAAGGATAAAGTCTCTCATTAATGCTAGGACAAAAAAAAAACAGAGATTTTTTCACTCAATTATAAAACCTGCAAAAAGGACCCACGAGAGATGTAAGAAGGAAAAATAAAAACATCCACAAACACATAATGAATGTCAGCTTACAAAAGGGCCCCTAAAAATTAATTCTTTAAATAAATTTAAAAAATAAAAAATAAATAAAAATTCTTACATCATATTGGTTTAAGTCTTTGTCTGGCAACTGAGCAAAGAAATGATTTGCCTTGACAATACATTTTGTCCCAAGCTGCCCAAAACCAGGCCTAGTTGGGAAAGTCAAAGACTTGCTTGAACAGGGGAAACTTGTACCCGACCCGTTTGGTGGAACCGGGTCGATCATGACCCGACCCGTTTCTCTGGTTCCGGGTTTATCCGCTGCGGTGCATGGGCGTGAGCTTGGCCGCATAAAGACTTCACCTTGGTCGGATTTTCGGCCCCCTCGCCCCCTTCTTCTTCCCCTGTTTCTTGATGGGGGTGACGGCGACTGGTTTTGAGGTTCTTGTGGTAATAACGGTGGTGGGGGGGCCGCGGCCCCCTTGCCGGTTTGAGCGGTTTTAGGGTTTTTGGTGGCGGTGTTTGGTGGCGGTGGTAACTGGGGTTTCATTACAACGCAGTGTTGGTGGTCGGAAGCTTCTTTCATCTGCCTCATTGGCATGATTATCATGTGGGCAAAAATGGGATTTTTTTTTTTTGTTGAAAATAAAATTAAAATCAAGAATTTGTTGATTTCTAGTTCTTGATTTCTTGGTTTACAGCCCTCCACAGATCAATGCAACTGCAAGAAAATAAAAAAAAAATTTAAAAAAAAAATTAAATTTCTTTGACTTCCACTCTTTGCAGCCATAACTGAAGATGGTGAAAAATAAAAACATTAAAAAATTCAGACCCCCCCAAAAAAAAATTTAAAAAAAAAAAAAGGAAGCCCTTTTATGAAAGATGCAATCTTTTTGACAAAAGAGAAGATTTTAGGGTTTTGGGGGTTGGAGATATTTTGAAATGTGCAGATTTAGGGGAAGAAGACTACAATTAAGTAGAGACAAAAGAAAATATATTATCAAGAACTCATGTGCAACAAAAAACATAGGAATTTTTTTGTAAGAAGAAATGCAAATCTAATCAAATAGTAGAAATACCCACAAGACAAAACCATCTTCCAATTTGTCCCCTAACCAAAACCAAGACTATAGATACACATCCAAGAGAGTAAAGACACTAGTACATGTATATAGAATTATATATATTTATTTTATATATATACACACATGCATATACATATATATGTTCATATACATATATTATGTTTTTTATGTTAGTGAAATAAAATCCAAATCCCCCAACAAAAGCATAAATAAATGTGAGGACAGAAGTATGACTGCTCAAGAAAGAGAATAAAATTTTGCCTAGAAAGCAACAAAAGAGCAACCAAAAGCAAAATTAAATAAAAATAAAAAATAATTAAATAAACATAGAACTAAAAGGAATAAACATTGAAGAACTCACTGGTAAATCAACATCTCAACCCAAAATTTCACTGCTGCAAAGAAAATGACACCTCAATACAAGGAGATTGATAAAACGCCAACACCAAAACCACGCTTCTTCCACTAATAAATATTAATAATGAAAAAAAAACTATGCTTAAAGATTCTAACTTTAAAACTCACCGATTTGATTAAAATCCACTTTTGAATCTACCCTTTGAAAAATAAAGAGGTGGGCTTTAATCAAGAACTTAAAAAGATGGGTTCTTTGGTGAGAGAGAAAAGTGTGTGTTTTTTTAGTGTGTCTGTGTGTGTGTGTGTGTGTGGATTGAAGAAGGTGAAGTTGGTGTGGTGATATGAATCTTTTATATATATATAATACACGCATGCAAATTGCTTTTGATGTGTTCTTTTATCACGTGTAAAAGACTTTGTGTGAAGGCCCTCCATCTTTCCCCCTTTTTGCTTTTTATCCCCCTCACACTTCTATCCTCAAATATACATACACATATACATACACACATATATAACTCACTTTTGTGCTTCCTCTCTTGCAGCCTCGGGTCTGTACAAATTGGGCTTCACACAATTAACATTAAAAAATCAATCTTTTTTGTTTTTTTAACAGATAAAAATTCAATCTTTAAAAGCTCGGCAATAGATACATGTATATATATACACACACACACATGGTTTGATGTGTATTTCAATAAAGAAAAAATAAATAAATAAAGCAATGAAAACACATAAGAAGAATAATTCGAACTTGTAGTCCTCACCACTGCAGAGATTTCAATGCACTCTCTCTCTCTCTCTCCTCAAAGATTGTATTTTTATATACAAGCTTTCTCTCTCTAGAATTCTCTCTCTAGGGCAGCTGCTCTTATGCAATGTCCCAAAATCTTTTGTGTACTAAAGCAGTCAAGTTTTGGTAAGCTGTAACGGTCGGTTGAAGCTCAAAGGTGGAAAATGGGGCCACACCACATGTGCGTGTGTTTGTGTGTGTTTTTTTTATAGAGGCTTTTTTTTAGCTTATCTGCAATTTGGATTTATGCAGTGATTAATTAATTATTATTAGTTTTTTTTTGCTTGGGATTAATTAATTAATTGGGGATTGTAATAAATGTGCTGTGTCCTGTGCCTGCCCAAAAGCTGAATGGGGATTTTACTCAAATTTTCATCCTTTATTACTCTAAATTCAACCCTAAATAGGCAAACATAACTTCTTTTTCTTACCCCTTTATTTTTATTTTTTGCTCTAAAAAAATTAATTTTTAAATTATATTTTTTGTTGTAATAATAATGCGCAAATTTTGTCTCACTAATTGAAAAAAATCGAATGGCGTTGTCGCAATCTATGCACATTTTATATTTTCTTTAATGTACATCTTCGATTCTTCGTCGTTGTTATATTAATAAATAAAAATTACCAAATAATAAATCTTTTAAGTTTGATATATACTAAAATTGATTTCAAATAATTGAGTACTTTTATTAACATTGGCCCCTTGAATCTTGATAACTGGTAAAGTTTATTTAGAAGTGACTCCACTAGCTTCACCAAGTCTTGATTGCCTGATAATTGTTTGTTGGGACAAATAAATATCCAATATACTACACTGTTTACATTTTAAATTATAGAAATGTCGAACTAAATTACGGTTTTTGACTTGCGATAAATGGCGTCCTCTTAGTTAGGTTTCAATCCAGCAAGGCCCCTCCCCGTGTGTGTTCATTGCATTTTGGTCTCTTGTGATTGCTCATTGTTTTTTTTTTCTTTTTTCTCATTATATATACTTTTGAAAATCTTTTTCATATTTCTCCTTTTGATTTATTATGATTTTGGTCCCATTTCAGAATTATTTGGAGATGTGTTTGGGTGAAATTAAAGTAGAATGCAGTTCAAAATAGGAGTGTAAACGAGGCGAGATTGAGCTGAGCTTGACCATTTTGACTAGCTCGAGCTCTTCGAGTATTTGGGGTCGAGCTCAAGCTCGAAAAATTCGAGTACGCATTCGAGCTTTCGTCGAGGTGGCTCGACTCATTTACACCCCTATGGTTCACAATGCATTATGGTTGATCCAGAACCAAAGGCCAGTTATATATGTAATTTATGTAAAAAAAAAATAAAAAAAATATTGTTTTATGAAAATGCTGTAATAATGTATGAACTTTCCTAGAGTAAAAAAGTGAAACATTTTTATCCATTTACTACTTACTATAACTAAACTGGAATTGCAGATTAATGTCAAGTCATTTTCAGTTAGACAGTTCAATAATTTTGTATGGACACTAATGAGTGACTTTAAAATTAAAATAAATAAATAATAAATAAGATAAAATAAAATAAATAAACTTAGGAAATCATGAGTTCATTTATCCATTAATTCCATATTGTTTCTTTGAGGTGGACCACGTTATTTATATCCTCACTCACGTGAGGACTCTTAATTACGTTTTGTCCCATTTGATAGTACTTATTATTTTTTATTTAATTAATTAATCTAATTTTTCTTTTAACATGCATAATTGATGAGAAAAATAGTATCTTGAGCGATCGATAGTACTTATTTTCACATAGTTATAAAAAAAATGTTGTTGTTAATTGATATTTTGGCACGAGAAAATAAGATAATATATGAAATTCGAAGCAATTTTATTTTATTTTATTTAAAAATAAATAAATAAATAAAAGAGAGTTATTTAAAGAGCTAAATGTGGCACAATAATGATGACACAAAAACCTTAATAATGGAGAAAAGTACCCTTTGAACTTTTGGCATATGTCATGAGTGCAAAACTCCACAGCAACAATAAATGTACCTAATCACTACCCTCGTAAATAATATAATATAATTAATTAAATAAAATATATTAAATTAAGGGCATGGGCTCTATTTGTTTTCATGCTAGTAGTTTTGAATTTTTTATAAATAAATATATGAACATTTTCCAATGGATGACGCAATATAGATGGATGGATGGTTTAACGATTATTATTATTTTATTTTAGGGCAAATTACAGACACCCCAGCGGTAAGGTTAAATTACGAAAAAAAACTGATGTTTGGCTAATTACAATCGCCCCTCAATTATGAATTTTCTTATACGTCCATTTTTGCGATGTCAAATTTAATAGAATTTTCTAAACTATGTGGAATATTTCCAATTTGCATTGTACTCGTTTTATCCTATTCGAACTTCATATTTTGACATAAAATGTGTCTCTTGGCTCGTAAACAAAATGTGGTGCATCAAAAACTGCATTTTACACAAAACGAATACAAACTAGAGGACATTCTACGGTATCTAAAAGATTATGTTGAATTTGACACCATAAAGATAGATATATAAGAAGATTAATAGTTGAGAGGGTGGTCGTAATTATCCAAACGTGAGGATTTTTTTCACAATTTGACATTACCTCAGGGAACTGGACGTAATTTACCCTTATTGATTTTATTTTTGGTAATTACAATATAAATCAAATATATTATAGAAGTGGACAAAGAAAAGGGATATTTGAGAGTAGTGGGGCTTAAATTAATTCTCCGATTTTACGTTTCCCCAAGTGAAGACCAAAAATTTATAAATAAGATTGTAGTGCGTGTGTGTGTTTTTTGTGTGTGGGTCCAATACACCACCCAACATATCTCAAAGAATGGGTGGTTTTGTTTTGGTTTGAAGACACGAGTGCCTTGCCCATGACATCTGCACCAAATATATTTATTCTTTAAATAATATATAACTCCATTACAATTTGTCGAATTTATTAGGTCACAAAAAAAATTGTTCTCGATTTCATCAAGTACAAATAAATATTTACGTGTTCTCAAAACAAATATAATTGGTGAAGTAAAAGAGCGTCGAAACTACCTGAACATAATTATAGGTAAATTACAACCATTTCCAAGAGGTAAAGTACAAAAAAATCCATTCGTCTTGAGAAATTACATCCGGCACCTTGTAGTTTATAAATTGCTTACATCCACCTCTTGCAAAAGAGTGTTAATGCAAGAAATATATAAATTGCAGGAGGTGGATGTAATTATTGAAAGTGATAGATTTTTTTATAAATATACCTTACTTCAAGAGCTGTTATGATATACCGTGGATGAATGATTCTAGTATTATTCACTTGTATATTTGAGGATGTTCAATCATTATTTGGCACGTGTGTTGTGAAATAAAAAAGGAAATTGCAATATAAAAATTAGTACTAGAAATAGGTAATAATTACATGAAGGAAAAATAATCGAGCACTATACTGCATATATATTATTACTCCCTCAGTGTGGTGTTAGTATTTGCCATAATAATATTCACAACTATAGAGCTTGCATGGCTAGAAAATGAAGTTGCATGTTGTGCCCACTATTTTCCCACTCAATATATATATATATATATATATATATATATATATATATATATGTGTGTGTGTGTGTGTGTGTGTGTCAATGTGTGTGTGTGGGTATTTAATTAGTAGCATTATGACACCATGATACCACTTAAAGCAGAAGCAATATACT